GCCATTTTTATTGTTTTATATATAAAATAAATGTTTGTTTTGTCGTGTTTCATTAATCTGAAGTTGCAAATAAAATTAAATTTTAAAATTCAGAGGTAGATACTAATTCTAAGACCTGATTATTTTTAATTAAGTAGTTTAATTTTGTTATCAAATAAAGTAGTTTAATTTTGTTATCTAGAGTTTTTACAGATGATAAAATCCACACAAAAAAAAATAGGGTAATATTAAATTTACTTGTATGAATTAAACACTAAAGTTAATTTGTCTAGTTGTTACTGAATAATAAAAATTAATATGAATAATAGAACTCTATAGAAAAAATGTTTAAAAAAAAACCATACATTTCACAATACATCTCTTTTATAGTATATTTTCAAACATTATATACCACTTGTTAATTTGTTTATATTTTTTTAATTATATTTATATTATATTTAATTTATTTATTTTATATTTAATTAGTTTATAACTCTTGTTAATTGTTAAAGAGACTTGTTTTCCAGCCTGCTGGAAAGCTGCATCTGTTATCCCTATTTTCAAAAATTCTGGAGAGTGATCTGATTCGCTACCATACCACTACTCTTCCTCCTATCATATAAAAGGTTTTTGAATCTTTATTTAAGAAACACTTAATCTCTTATCTTGAATCTAGTAACATACTTTCTGATCATCAATATGGATTTTGATTTCAACGGATGGTTTGCTAACAGTAATAACCGGTAGGTTTTATCGTGCATTAGATAAAGGTGGAGAGGTTAAAGCCATCGCTCTTGACATTTCTAAAGCGTTTAATAAAGTTATGCATGCTGGTCTTCTCCAAAAGATTTTTTCTTAGGGTGTTTCTGGATACATCTTTAAGGTTATTAAATCCTTTCTTTCCAATCGTAGTATAGAAGTTGTCCTCAATGAACAGTATTCTTCTAATTTGGTAACCTATGGGGTTCCTCAAGGTTCAATCCTTGGCCCTATACTCTTTTTAATTTACATTAACGATCTTCCAGATATTCTCACATATAAGGTGGTATTGTTCGCTGATGATACTACCATTTATTCTTGTCATGATAAGAAGCCAACACTCTCTGATTGCTTGCAGGGGGCATCTGAGCTTGAAAAGGATCTCACTTCTGCTACAGCATGGGGCTCACAGTGGCTGGTGAACTTTAATTTAGATAAAACTCAATTTTTTCAGCCAATCGTTATCGCAATAATTTAGACCTTTCTATATTTATGAACGGTAATGTACTTGATGAGTCATCTACCCCTCATCTTCATGGATTAGCTCTTACTTCTGATCTTTCTTGGAAACCATATATCTAATTCATATCAAAATTAGCATATGTCAAGGTTGCATCTCTTTATCAAGCTCGGCACTTTCTTACTCCGGATTCTATTCTCAATCTCTATAAATCTCAAATCAGGCCTTGTATGGAATACTGTTGCCATATCTGGGACGGATCTTCTAATGATGCTCTTTCTCTTTTAGACAAGGTGCAAAAACACATTGTAAACATAGTTAGCCCTGCTCTTGCAGCCAACCTCAAACCATTCTCTTTCCCTTTTCTACAAATACTATAATGGGCACTGCTCTAAAGAGCTAGCGTCTCTTGTGCCATCTGCTAAAATTGATTCTCATGTTACTCATCATTCAATTAAGTCTAATCCTTTTTCTGTGACTGTTCCTAACTACTCAAAAAACTCTTATTCCTCTAGTTTTTTTCCTCGAACATCAGTTCTTTGGAATTCGCTTCCTTCATCTTGCTTTCCTGATTCATGTAATATGCAATCTTTAAGTCGTTTGTCAATCGTTATCTTGCTCTACAATCTTGATCTTTTCTCTTCCAGTAACTTCCAAACTAAGTAACTTAGTGGCTGCTTGCATCCTTGTTGGAAGCAAAAATGTTTAAAAAAAAAAAATTTACTTCATAACGCAAAATAAACAAATTTTATTTTTATTAACTTGTTTTATTTTTATTTATTTGCTTTTTTTTAATTAATTTGTAAGTTTAAAAACATTTTTAAATTGTTACGCATTTATAGCAATTTTCCATTAGACAAGCTTTAAAAAAAAATTATTTTGGTATTTCGTAAGCAGAATAGACCTAGAAATAATGAAAATTCAACAGCAGAGTAGGCTAGATAAATTATGTTATAACATATTCCATGAATAACATGTCATTTAAATTTTAGATTCTATTAGTCTAAAAAATTTTGAACAGTTTTTGTTATCACATATTAAAAAATAATTTATGCCAGTTTAATTCTTTTAGGTTAAATATAGAATATAGCTCCTGTTTATTTGCTTTAATATGTTTTTCTTTATTTCTGGTCAACTCTCATATTTTATTTTGATGAAAAGAATTACACTAATGTCTACTTGCTTTTTAATCATACACATTTAATTAAAACACCAACAAAATCTTCCATAAAATGAAGTACACTTTTAAAACCCCTAGTTTCAGTTTTCATTAATTATTATTATTTTAAAATTTTAATTTTGTTTTGTAGATCCGCTTAATTACTTTGACATTGAATCATCCGAATCCGAATCGTTTTTTATTAATAATATTATCTCTGATACCGACAGCTTATACAGGCAAATCGTTCCGAACAATCATTCTGTTGGAAATCAACCAAATTTCAATAATAGCGATATAAAGAAGGAAAACGATATTATAGGTTCTACAGACATCTTTTATATATAAATGCAAACAATTATTCTGCAGAGATCTGAAATAGTTTGACTAACTATAAAAGATTAATGTTGAATAAAAATTAAAAAGAACAATATTGACATTTTTAACCTGATATCCATAAATAGAATTTTTGTATTATCATTCGATTTGACTGTAGGCTTTTTTACTAACATACTAGAATTAAATTTAGGTAAATCTTTTATTTTTCATATAAGCAACGTTCGAATTTCGAAAAAATTCTTAATTTATATGCAACTGCAATTGAAGCGTTTAAAATTATAAATACTGAAATGAGCCATATTTCCAAAATAATATTTTATATTTTGCCGGCAGACATGTTTTTATAAAAAACATTTTGTTATGTTTAACTGTAATATATTAAGTGCCTAAACATGCAAATTTTGTTAATAATTTGTTAAATATTTAAAAGGTCTGAATGGGTAGACCCTATTGCATGTGACGCAGAAAAAATGCACACTATTATGAAGGCAACTAAAAATGATATTTGGTATCTGTTTACCATCAACAAAAACGCATTTTTAAAGAATAGTTTAAGTGTTCTTTATAAAAAAACAAAAAATCTACAAAGTTTAAAAAACTTTCGTTTTTTAAGCTTAGTCGATCTTACATCATCTCATCTTTGTAAATTTTACAAATAAACGGGTATTTTAGAAACACCATAAGTCAAAAAAAGTAACTTTTTAGAAATGTGAAAAACATTTTATAACAAGAAATAACACTTTTTAAAATGAATAAATGAATGTTTTTGTATGAACCATTGTAAGATTACAAATATCAGTCAGTGCCATATATTATTTTGCAATTTAATTGCAGCATTTATCATGGTTTGTTTTGCTTCAGTTTTAACAACTGTTACAATTACTTTTAGCAATTTTTCAAAAATTTTTGGTTATAGGCTTAGGTAAATTTATAATAGTACAAAACTTTTTCATACCTGCATATCCATAGCCCAATAACTGCATGCAATAAATTGTTTGCTTTTTAATATCAAACCTTTTTTTATTGTAATCATTGATAGAGGTGTAAAACTGACAAAGATATTTGTAATCATTTTTCAGACATTTAAGATATAACAAGATAAACCATATTGTTTATTATATCTTTCGCCTAATGAAAGTGTGGGACTATCATATTCTGGATACAAAAAAGAACTCAAAACAGGAATTAAAACAGTAACATCAATGATACGATAGCCAGATATACTAGGTTTCAAAACAACTGCATCTTTAAAGTCGTCAACTTTACGAGATGAAGCGAGCAAACTTAAGTGAGTTTTCAATATTTGGTTTTAAAAGTGTAGCATTTAAATTTATTGATAACAACTCAATATTTGCACTATCAGAAACACAATCAATATTAACAGATTTTATTTACCCAAGCAATATTACCAAAATAACATTTCCCATAAATCTTTTCCTTTTACAGTAATTTTTTTCTTACTTTACTCGACCATAGTAATTTTGTTCTTACTTTACTTTTCCCAATAAAACTAAGCTGATAAAACAACACAATAACTGACTCAAATGACGTACTTGAGGTACCAACCTTTACAAAAATTCTAGAATAATTCATAACTAGCAGTAAGCAACCCGTAATACGCGTTGTTAGTAAATTTAAATTTAAAAAAAAATCCGCGTATAGAAAAGCCTAGAAACTACTTTAAAATAGAAAAGCCTAGAAAATGACGTAACTCGACTAATAATAATAATATTAAATTAGCGTATTCATATTATCAGAAGAAGCTGTTCACACTTAGACATAATTATGATAACACTTGTTTGTGTTAAACTAGGTGATATGTTTGGTGTATACAGTTAATCAAATGTGTTTCTATGGCGTTGCAAGGGATATCACTTCGAAGTAGTTCATTCACATGGATAAGTTTAGGTTAATATGCTACTTTAAAACATTTTTTATGATCCTACATAGGTAAAAGTAGTTAAAAATTAAGATTTTTTTTTTTTTTGAAAATTTTGAAATTTTAAGGGGGGATAGGCTCTAAACTTTGTTTAGTGATACGAGTGCAGAACATAGCCTTACAAGGGTGTGGTTTTTGTTTTGGCCCCAGCACCCGTCAGAAAACACATGCAACTCTTCTACAACATTGCAGAAAGGTTCTATATATCATAATAGAAAGGAGCAAACTTTATCAGGTCACTTTGCACAAATCCCTTCATGATACAAAAAAACTTTGTTACTATTATCTCGAAAGCTTTGTATGCAGAAAACACTAACGGTCAGCTGTCTGGGGTAAAAAGTCTCTTGAATTGTAATGCAAGAAAGTTGCAAAATTTGTTTATAATTTATACAAATCCCTCCTACTTTATCATAATCTTGATATTTTTGTGCGATTTTTTTAATTTCTCTGTAAAATATTTTAGCTCTGTGAATATGAAACATTTTCTCAACAGCTGCAGCTGTCTTAACATTGTCGCTTAAATATTTACTTTTAATTTTTACCTGTAACTCATCACATGTGCATAATGTGTCAACCTGACGTAATCCAAATCTCAACATAAATTGCTGCTTAAATATTTTTAAACAAAATTTGTAATTTACATTCCAGGATCCTTTTGTTGAAACGCCTTGTGCATGTCATAAACAGAAATTTTTTCATTAAGAAAATGTTTTTCAGTATTACCATAGTAAGTTATTTTAGTTGGATAAATAGATATTTGCTCTTTCACCATGTTTATGACACTTTCAGGTTTAGCATTTCCTGAATTACTTCGTCCACGTTCATCACGAGGGATTTGTCCTGTTTTCAAGAAGTTGCACAAACTTCTTAATTTGTCACTTGTCACAGAGTGAATATTCATAAAAACAAATTTGCAAACCTGTTGTTTTCCAGATGGTATTGATACTTCATAAAAAAATGTTACAACTCGGTCTGGCTTTAAAGACTTGTTAAAAAGCTTACACCTTCTCCTTTGCTTAAATTTTAGTGCTTTATTTTTTGGTGCTTTATTTTTTACATAATTTTGCAAAAGGCACCTCTGTTAAATAAATAACAGTAAAAACAAAAACAAATATTAACTTACTTGCAATCTTTGCCGAGTCTTCTTTCCGGAATATTCTTCCCAGCGTAGTTTGTATAAGGGCTTCCATCGACGCGAGCTTTTTTCATTATTTCACATTTGTACATAGACTTATTTACTACTCCGATTTTTCTTTTTGTTTTTGTATATGGGTGTTGTAATCAGATATTAAACTATATTAAATGTGTGAGAATTCCTTGTACTGAATTAAACTCCGAGGGAATAATTTCCAAAACAATTATTGTTTTGCAATCATTATTGGTTTTCGAAAAATACTTTTATAACGGATTATCCAAAGGGAATTGCTTGTGTTGCAATTGTTAATGATTATCAAAAACAAATATTGCAAACGGTTCGAAAGAAAACTGGTTATCTAATCATTACAACTTCCATTCGCGCTGATTTTTGATTCTAGAATAACATGCGTTAGCTGTTCCATAGAGAACGATTCCGTGCTTAAACCATTTTTGTCCAAAAATGACTTATGGTGTTTCTGAAATGACCCGTTCAAATAACCTTTAAATACTTTAGTAGGCCGTTTATTTGGCCCAATAAATTTGAGACAGTTAAACAGTCTATTAGACAAATTAAGACAGTTAGCTGAGTTATTATTTTCAAAAGCATATATAACAGTTTTGCTGTCCAGCAAATCAATAAGCTTTTTGGCACAATAATTTGATGCTAGGTTAAGTCAAAATGATGTTATTATGTATAAATAGATTCAAAATATTTTTCATGCAATCTTTTTTTTTGCATATATACCAGTACAATATACAAATATACCAGTACTATTGACAACTAAGAACTTAAAAAAACTTATTCTGATGAATATATCTTGTAACTCATAAAAACCGGTTTGAAATCGTATCTGCACATGTGTTCATACCATCTAGTGTGTGAGAAACTTTTTGGAACCATAACACCTTTTTCCAGTTTTGACATCAAGACTTTCGAGCGATGCGTTGAAACAGAAAAAAAGTTATGTAGCTGTTGAAGATAGCCAAAGAAAGAAGAAGCTGCAACACAAGATTCAGCTGCTAGAGCACCAACCAAAGATTTGTCAACGCATGGAACTTATTCAGCTAGTGAATTTAACAACTTAAAATGAGCTTGCTATCCAGTTAAGACCTCACACATATTGGAAGCATTATCATACGACTATTCACTTTTTTAAAAACTTGCAATCAATCCTAGAACTGCATTCGCTTTGATTAACAAAGTTAGAGGTGGCATTGTTATTGCTCATGCCCACTGATTGCCTTATAAGCACCTTTCCAGTAAAAAAATACTTTTTTGCTCACTAAAGAACTATTTTTTGGAAGAAAAAAAAATTTGCAGTAAACAATACCCCTCTTAGCAGTATATACCAGCCAATAGAGTTCTTTCTTTTCTCCATTTGTTAGTTTTTGAAAAAAGTACCTCTTTTAAGGCGTGTCGCAAAATTCCAGCATTGTCACTGGTTTCAAACTTTGAAAAATCAGTGGCGTTGACAACTCTTTTTGCTGATTTTTTACGATTAACTTAATCAGGCTAATATTTTGACGTATATGTTATTCAAATAGTTATATATATGTTACGTATATGTTAATGTTATATATATATATATATATATATATATATATATATATATATATATATATATATATATAATATATATATATATATATATATATATATATATATATATATATATATAGGGGAGAATGGGGTAATGGCGAACGTGGGGTAACTTTGAACATGGTTAAAACAGCATTATAGAAAAATAAATTTAATAATTTCTTTTTACCTGCTGAGAGGGATCCCATGCTTAGTTCCAGACGTGCAGTAGTGTAATGAAGCTGCGGATGTTGTTCACTATAATTTGATTTAACTTTTTCTGATAATTTCATGCAACTTTTTTCTTGAATAACATTCTGTTGTAGATTCTATGAATATATAACTATTCCTTTTTTTGTTGTTATTGCATAGTATAATTTTTGCTCTTAGTTATTTCAATTCGCATTTTTTTCGTTATTACACAACAGCGTTTGTGTAATAACGAACAAAATTTATTGTTTTTTTTTCAGAAAACCAAAATAATTTTGATTTCTAAAAAATAATTTGAATATCCAGATAATCAAATTAAATTGG